GGGAAGAACATATATACACACTTGCAATGCAAGATGGTTGAATTGAGAACTGGCAAGGCTGAAATGAATGAATGGCTAGACATAGCCATGGACAAAGTGATCTTTAGACCAACTGAAGGAAGGAGACATGAATGGATGGCAAGACCTAGATAGTGACAGATGGATGAATATACAGAAATCTGTCTTCCTCAACAGGAAGGTCGGAGAGGAAGGGACAAAAGGGAGAATAAAGTGACCCAGAATATTAGAGGCGAACGATAGTAAAATCTAAATAGTAGGAAATGGATGAATGGCAAGAGTCATGCAGTGTGAATGGGAGGAATTGAGAATTGTCAAGGCATAGCCGAATGAATGATTAGACTGTCTTAGAGAAGGAGACACAAATAGATGCCCAAGCCTAGACAGTGAGAGATAAATGAATGGAAAGAATTTGGTATTGTAAAACTGATGGTTGAACAGACCAAGAAAAGCCTAGAATGATGAATGGCTAGAAGTCATAGTCCAGTAATGAATGGAAGAGTGTAGAAGATATCAAGAGGTCAATGAATGGAAAAACTGGAAAAATGAGAGATTGATGGTAAGAGAAACTAATAAATTGAGAGATGTATGAAGAGTTGTACTGAGTGAAAGATTCATGACTGGAGATGCATGTATGAGTAAAAGGAGAAGCCTTAACAGTGAAGGGATCAATAGCAGTGGAAATACAGATAGGCAGGAAAGTATGAAATGAGAAATCTTGGGGAGAAATGGATATTTGCAGAGATTCAGACAGTAAGAGACAGGTAAATGGAGAATTCAACAAAATAAGGTTTGGATGCTTAGAAATCAGACCAGATTAAAAGATGGATGGCTGTACTGAAATGAGTGAGAAATGAGTGAGAGTTATGTGCTTAGAGAAACCTAATTTGGAAGGGATGGATGAATGGATAAACAGAATTAGACAGGGAGAGAACAAAGGCTTGAGAAAGACAGGCAGGGAGAAGGTGACAGACAGGGCTATGGAAACCCTAACAAAAGGGTGGACGGAGACACACCCAGAACATGAGGGGTGAATGATAGTGAAATCGAGATAGTAAGAAATTGATAAATGGCAAGAGTGATGCAGGGGTAAGATGGATGAATTGAGAATTGACAAGGCAGAGACGAATGAATGGTTAGACGAGTGAAAGAGAAATGATGGTTAAACTGTCTTAGAGAAAGAGACAGGAATGGGTGTCCAAGATGGGAGAGATGGATGTATGGAGAGAATTCTGCATTATGAAACAAAACAAGGGAAGTCTAGAATGATGTATGGCTAGAACAAAAGGCCAGGAACAAGTGAAAGAATGTCAAAGATGTCAAGAGATGAATGAATGGAGAAACTGGGAAAATGAGAGATGGATGGTAAGAGATACCAAGAGAGTGAGAGACGTATGGAAAGAGAATTGTAGTGAATGAGAAATTCCTGGCTGGAGATACATGCACAATGACATCTGTACGAAAAGACAAGCCTTAACAGTGAAGGATAGACAGCAGGGGAAACACAGATAGGTAGGAAAGCATGGAAGGAAAGGTCTTAAGAAGAAAATTTGGATGTTTGCAGCGATCCTGACAGTGAGAGACAGATGAATGGAGAAATCAACAGAGTGAGGTTTGGAACATGAAAGGTGATTGATAGTAAAATCAAAATTGTAGAAAATGGATAAATGACAAGAGTTTTGCAATGCAAGATGGTTGAATTGAGAACTGGCAAGGCTGAAATGAATGAATGGCTAGACATAGCCATGGACAAAGTGATCTTTAGACCAACTGAAGGAAGGAGACATGAATGGATGGCAAGACCTAGATAGTGACAGATGGATGAATATAGACAAAAGTGGGGAGACTACTGTGATTGGAAAGAGCTAGAGAGTGAAAAGTGAATGACTATATTGATTTAGACAAGAAGAGATGAATATGGCGAGATCTAAACATTGAGAGACTGATGACTGAAGAGACCTGCAGAGGCAAAGAAGAATGAATGACTACATCTAAGCAGCAAGTAATGAATAGGAAAAGGGATCCTGATAGTAAAATCTGGAAGGCAGAGTCTAGATGGCAGAGTGAGGGGTCACAACTACTAAAGCTCCCCAAAACTGCTTCTGCAATGATCACAGAAAACATGGCAAATTGAATTTGGAGAAATTCAAGAAATTCAAGAAATCCAAGAAATCAAGAAATCCAAGAAAATCAAGAAATTCAAGAAAGCCAAGAAATCCAAGAAAACCAAGAGAAAGTAACAGCAGCTTTGGAAGACAGAAAGAGATATATGCAAACAATGGGGCGGGTGGGGGCTGTCCAGGAATAAAGAACAACTGAAGGAGCCCTGGGTGGTGGTGGCAGCACTGAGCTATGGCTGTGGTGGGAGCTGTAGCATAAAGCAGCTCAGTCCCCAGGCCAGTAAGGGGACTGAAGAAGTGGGCAGAAAGAGATCTCCAAGGTCCCCTCGACTAGCGCCGGCTGAAGGTTCAGGTATCATTTGGCAGCTCCATCTCTTATTACCCAGTCTGGGTCATAGTTCCCAGGCAGAGAGGAGCACTTGCAATCCAGCAGCTCTGTTGCCTATTTCCTAGCTCCTGGTCACAGTTCCAGGGCAGAGAGGAGCACTTATTGTCATGATGGAACAAGGGAATTATCTGTGCCAATGACCAGAGCACAGATCAGGAAGGCAGTGACCAACTACTCCCCAGATTACACCATCTTGAAAGCACCAAAAACATACAAGCCTCCAGACCAAGCTGAGAGAGCAGCAGCAGGACATAAAAGACAGAAACTCAGGCCAGTCATTGTCCCTAGAGATGAGCAGAGCACTATTCTAACATAAAGTCCAAAATTAAGAAGTAAGCTGGAAAAATGAACAATAACAAAAAAAGAAGATGACCATAAAAAGCTTCTTTGGTGACAGGGAAGCTCAGGACACAAATTCAGAAGAGGACAATGACTTGAAAACATCTACAAGTAAAGCCTCAAGGGAAAAATGCAGATTTGACAGCTGCTCAACAAGAATTCCTAGAAGAGATAAAGAAGGGGATAAAAAAGCAAAAAAGGAGCAGCTAGGTGGCACTGCAGTAGATAGAGCACTGGCCCTGGAGTCAGGAGGACTTGAGTTCAAATCCATCCTCAGATACATAACACTCACTAGTTGTGTGACCCTGGGCAAGTCACTTAACCCCACTGCCTAGCCAAAAAAAATTAAAAAAAAAAAAAGCAAAAAAATAAAAAAAGATTTTTAAAAATCAAAATGGTAGAGAAAAAAATTAGGGGAAAATGAGAGCTATGCAAGAAAAAATATGAAAAAAGAATCGACAATAAGAAATAGTTCAATCAAGAGAATGGGAAAATGAGAAATGGTTGATGGGTGAGACCAAGAGACTGAAAGATATATGGAAAGAGTTGTATTGAGTGAGAGATTCCTGGCTGGAGATAGCTGCACTTTGAGGTATGTGTGAAAGCAGAAGCCTGAGCAGTGAAAGATGGATAGTGGTGGAAACAGGGATAGGCAGGAAAGCATGAAAGGAGACAGCTTGAAAAGGAAATATGGAATGTTTATAGTGATCCAGAGAGTGAGAAACAGGTTAAGAGAAGTAAGTATAACTGATGTTTGGCTGCTTAGAAAGACCAGCTGAGTGAGAAATGCATTGGGTGAACTAAAAGTACTGAGTGCAAGTTGTAGGTTTAAAGAAAGCTAACCTCTGAGCGATGGATGAATGGGTATACCTGGAGAGGGAGAGATGAATGGATGAAAAGAAACAGACAAGGAGAGAATTTATTGAGAAGGACAGAAAGGGCAATTTAGGGTTAGGGTTAACTAGCAAAAGGCTGAATGGATAGACCCAGAATATGAGAAGTGACAGGATAATGAAATCTAGATGGTAGAAAATGAATGACTGGCAAGAAACATATGAAGTGAAATAGGTGAAATGAAAATTGGCAGGGCAGAGATGAATGGATGTTTATAGCTAGGCAAAGGGAAATGGATGGTTAGACTGTCAGAGAAGAACACATGAATGGAAGACAAGACATACTTGGTGAGAGATGGGTGAGTGCATAGATCAAAAAGGGAGAGGGAGGAAATTTAGAACTCAAAATCTTATGGAAGTGAATGTTGAAAACTAAAAATTAGTTAATTAATTTTTAAAAGTGGAGAGTTTTGTGATTGGAGAGAGCTAGAAATTGAAAAATAGATGACTATAGAGATCCAGACAAGGACAGGTGAATGAATGGCAAGACCTAAACATTGAGAGACTGATGGTTGAAAAGATCTTGGGAGGCATAGAAGAATGAATGGTTAAAAGAAAAAGGCAAAGGATGAATGGAAGAGCAAACTAGACAGTAAGAGACGGATGAGTGGAGAAATTGGTAAAATGAGAGATGGATGGTTAGTAACCAATAATGTTAGGGATGCCTGGAAAGAGAACTGTACCAAGTGAGAGGTTCTTGTCTAGAGATACCAGCACAGTGAGTATATGTGAAAGGAGAAGTCCTACCAGTGAAGGGTGGACAGATAGGTCAAGAAATACAGAGAGCCAGGAAAGGAAGAAAGGAGAGAAATTTTAAGAATTAGATATGGAATGTGTGCTGAGATCCTGACATTGAGAGATAGGTGAAAAGACAAATCTATAAAGTGAGGTTTAGATGCTTAGAAAGAAAACCAAAGTGAGAAATGGAAGGGTAAACTAAAGTACCAAGTCAGAATCACATGCTTAGAAAAACTTATACTGGAAGTGGTCGATGATACAGGGAATTAAGGATTAATGGAGAGGCTTCGGCAGGGACTGATGGATTATTTGGAGGAAAAGATGGGACCTAGGTGTGGATACCAGGAAGGAGATACACAGGCTGAAAGGACAGACAAAAGGGAAGGGTAGAATGAGAGTGAGAAGAACAGAAGAGCCTGGGAGGGAAAGGAAGATGGAAGAATAGAAGAAAAGAAGGAGAGACCAAGAGAGACCCAAATGGAGCTACACAACAGACGGATCATAGTGATGGATTCCGTGGAGAAAATGCAATGGATCAAGTAACAGATGGAGTGGATCTATGGATAGAGGAATACAGGTAATGATCAAGGAGGTCCAGAGGGAGGGACTGAGGGATCTAGGGATGGGTGGAGTGACAGACAGAGGGGCAGATGAACCTACCAAGAGAGAAACCAAGGTCCAGAGACTTTGGATCAGGCACTAGTTGCACAGAAGGAGATTTTTCCCCCAACTACACCATTCTTAGAGATGATGGATATATCCAAGAGAATAAGTCATTGCATCTGGGGGAAGGGGAAGGGAAGGAAATCCCCGCCTCCCTGACTTTGGGAAATCCAAGGGAGAGTCCCAAGCCTCCTTAAAAGAGGGTAAGAGAAAGAAAGGTGAAGACTTGGCCTGTCCTTGCCTACTTAGTGGGCAGCCCTTCCTGGATCAGTCACCAATCCTTTTCTGACATTGTTCCCAATCAAGGGGGACAAATAAGGAGCCACTGATTATGTGTGTGTTCTTTAGCAAGGGGTCAGGGCAATGTGGTGAAAGGACACAGAGCCCAGGCCCATCCTCATTCACGCTCCATGTAATGGTCCCCACTACCCAGGCAAGAAGACAGTATGAGAAAGGAGGGTGAAAAAATAGTGAAAGGGACAAAGGCAAGAAGGGGAGAGCCAGGGATGGAGGTAAAGAGCCAGAGCAAGAGATGGAGCCGAGGACAAAGAGCCAGACATGGAGCTAGGGAGAAAGGTGAGCTAGGAAAAGGAAACAGACCAAGAGAAAATGAGAGGGAACATGAATTTAGAGAGACAAGATGATGGTGTGCAAAAAAGAAGGGAAAAGACATCTAGTAAAGGAGACAAAACCATTAAAGGATGGAGGGACATGGAGCCAGAGAAAGAGTATAAAAGTAAGAGGGATGGGGCAGCTAGGTAGCACTGCAGTGGATAGAGCACCGGTCCTGAAGTCAGGAGGACCTGAGTTCAAATCCGACCTCAGACACATAACACTTACTAGCTGTGTGACCCTGGGCAAGTCACTTAACCCCAATTGCCTCACCAAAAAAAAGTAAGAGGGACAGAGAGAGTGAGAGAGGGAGGAGAGACAGTGAGACTACGGCAAGAAGGCAGCGAGATGGATTGGAGGCAACGAGACAGAGAGAGAGAGAGAGAGAGAGAGAAGAAGAAAGAAGGAGGAGAAGGATGCTAGTGAAGGAGACAGAAACATAGTTGGGGAGGGACACAGTGCTGGGGAAGGGGAGGGTAAAAAGAGCCCAGAGGCCCTTTCAGAGTAGGCTCATTACTTTGATTCTGCCAGCTCTCCCTCAGACTTATCATTGGGGGAGGGGAGCAGGGCTGGGAAGGGGTTCTCTCTCTTCTACCTTCCCATCAGCAGCTGTGGTAGCTACAGGAACACGGGCTTACCCGGTCAGCCCGAGACAATCCTCAAATAAATCTCTTTGGTTTTTTTATCTATTTCTCTGGCCACAGGTCATCAAACAGCAATCCTGAGAGATGAACACTTGCGGCCTTGGTGAATACCTTGTGAGTTCAGGAGATCCAGAGGCTTCGAATAAGATGCTAGTTGCCCAGTGGGAAGTGTTTCTTGCAACTGGACCCTTTTTTGGAGGAGTAAGTTGACAACTGGCAGGCAGATGAGCCAGTGCAGCTGAAGAGAAGAGGGGGAGAGCTTGAGAAATCCAGGGGAAATCTGGCAGGGTCTCAACAAAAAGACCACCTTAGAAAAGAGAGGCAGAGAATCTAGCCTCTTTTTTTAAGTGGGACATTGGTGATATAGAGAAATGATGCCAATAAAAATTTACAACTCAAGAAAGTAAAAAAGGGAAGGAGGGAGGGGGAGAGAGAGAGAGAGAGAGAGAGAGAGAGAGAGAGAGAGAGAGAGAGAGAAAGGAAGGAAGATAGAGCTATGAAAGGAGGCAAAAAAGAAAAGCAGAGGGAAGTAAAGAAGAACACAAGGGAGAAAAAGATGCAGTGACAAGGAGGCCAAGAAGGAAGCAAGGTTGGAAAGATGAAGGAAGAAAGGAGGGAAAGAGCAAGAAAATGGAAGGGAGGGAAGGTGTGAAAGGGAGGGAAGCAGACCAGGAAGCAAAGAGAGAGAAAGAGATTAGAAGGGAGGGTGCGAGAATCAATAGAAGGGACAGGGAAGGAGACATAACTGGAAGAAGGGGAAGAAGGGAGCCATGTGGGTGAGGAAGAGCTGAAAGGAGAGGGGGAGGAAGGATAAGAGCCAATGGGAGAGAGAGAAGTAGTGAGGGAGTTAAGGGGGGTAGAAGAATGGGAAGGAAAGAAGCAGTGGCAAGAAAGGAAGGAAGGTAAGAGTGAAAAGGAAGGAAGGAGTGGATGGAAAGTTGGAGTGAGGGAAGGAGAGAAAGCAGCAAAAAAGGGAAGGGTAGAAAGAAGGGAGGAAAAGCAGAGATGAAGTGGGAGGATAAATGGGAGGGAGGCACAATAGGAAAAGGAGAGAGGGAGAGAAGGAAGGAAAGACAGAGAAAAAGGGGAAGGGAGAAGGAAGGAGGGAGGGAAAGGAGAGATGGGGACATAATGGGACCCGGCCAATGGAACACCATCCTGAAAGCATGGGCTGTCAGACCACGTGGAAGAGACTGGGGAACCTGCAAAGGAATAATGCTATGTAATGGAAGGGCTCATCTCCCCAAGCTGGAAGATGTGCATTCTATACCTGTTTCAGGTCTGCTGTCCGGGCTCCCATCCCAGATGGAGGGAGGTCAGAAAGGAGGCAGGGGTGGGGGGGAGGAAGCAGAGAGGAAGGAAGAAGGGAGGGAAAGAATCATAAAAGAAGGAAACAGTAACAGAGGGAGGCAAGGAAGGAGAGGATGAAGGGGGAGGAGGATGAGGGAAGGAAGGAGAGCAGGAAAGAGAGCGGGATGGAGGGAATGAACAAAGTAGGAAAGGTCCAAGAAAAGGAGAAAAGGTGGAAGGAAGGGAGAGGGAGAGCAGGAAGGAAGAAGAGAGAACTGGAAGCAACTGGAGGGAGGGAGGCAAACCAGGAAGGAAGGACAGAAAGAAGGAGTAGGAAAGAAAGGGTAGAGAGGCTAGCCCAGGGGTGGGGAACCTGTGGCCTCGAGGCCACACGTGGCCCTCTAGGTCCTCAAGTGCGGCCCTTTGACTGACTCCAAACTTCACAGAACACATCCCCTTCATAAAAGGATTTGTTCTGTCAAACTTGGACTCAGTCAAAAGGCCGCACCTGAGGACCTAGAGGACCACATGTGGAGGCTGAGTAAATCTGCTTCTGGGCATGCCCTGCTCCCTGACTTTGGAGTGTGTGCGGGTATTCTATACATCTCCAGTCCACTGACCACATAGTAAAGTAAGCTGCTGAGCCACAACTAGGGGTACATTCCAAAGGTATTATGAGCAAAAGGGAGTGAGGAGGCAAGGACTACTCTACATCTCTAGTACCTCACCCGAGGCCCTGTGGTTGTTTCCTTCCTGCCTTAGGTGAACGTACATTGAAGATGGGATGGACCTTGTGCCCTCGAAAGGCCAGAAGAGCTCCCAGAGGTCCAAGGCAAAATCTGTAATCTGCCGAGCCTGATCTGCCAGCACAGCCCCAAGGAACAATGGGGATCCAGCTCAGCCGCCAAGACGCCAGAAAGTGACTCTGCCCACGGCTGTGCCACATTCGGGATGTAATGTGGCGGCCAAATGCATTGTAGCAAAGGCTTTGAGTTGGACCCCACTCTCCTCGTGGACCAAAGTGGGACAGGGGCTTTTGGGGGAGAAAACAGACTTCTGTTCTTGCTGCATCTTCTCAGTGAATAGACCTTTATAACGGCAAATCAATGTTAACTGGTGAAATGGAGGCAATGATCAACCCAAACCATGGGCAGTGGATATTGAGGAGGATACATTGGAGTCGGGGCTCAAGCCAAAAGCGTTAGAAAAAGCCGTTCCCAACCTTTCAGGGCTACTCCAAGAACCCTGAGGGGAGATACATGAGCCAGTATGAGAGAGTGGGCCTTGGACAGTCACTGCAGAGCACAGCCTGTGGATGCAAGGCCTCCCCTTGCTCTTTCCTGTGACCTCTGGAGGAGCGAGGAAGGGAAAGCAAGTACTAGAGGCCTGTGGCCCACCAGAAAGGAAGCGTGGGAGGCAAAGTAGGAGGAGGAGTCTAAACACAATTAGGGGGAAAGCATCCCATCCAGAAGCTCAGAAACCTTTTTCCTTATGTTTGGGCTAGTCTTTTTTTTTTTTTTTTTTTTAATGCAGCCACTATATATTGATTGTGGCTTATAAATGAAAGGGTTTATCCAGACTGAGAGAGGAGATTCCAAATTTGGGGCAGGAGTGTGGCCACAGATTTGACTCTCTTATAACTCAGCTCTATGGCACCTCTAAATTAAATGAAGCCGCAGGCCAGCAGCGTGTGCCTCGATGGGAAGGGAAGTAGTCTGAGCCATCTTGTGGTCAGTGGCGACACCCCAACTTCTGATGCTGAGGTGCCAGGACAACTCTGATGGAATCTCTAGGCTAGTGATGGCTATCCAGTGGCCCCAGTCAACAATTCAGATGCTTCCCTCTCTCTTTGGATCATTAAGATCTATCATACCTGCCCTGCAACAGGGAGTAGGGACGGCAGTGCAGGTACAATGCCGTGGCGCTCCATGCATTTCCTGCAGCCCTCACCCATGTCATAAAGAGGACAATGATTTACCAAAATTGGGAGGATTCCATGAAAGCAGTCTTCAAAGATCAAATTTTCTCTCTGACAACATTAACACAATGGGAAAAGAGAATATTATTGAACTGAAAATAATGTAATCCTAGAATGTTAGAATTTACTCACAAAATGTAAAAAAAAAAAATTTCATATCCTTAATCAAGTTTAGAATGTCACCAGTTTTAGAATATGACCCACAAAAACTAAGAATGTTGACTTCACCATGAGGGTGCCCCAGAAGGCTAGGGGCTGAGGAAGGACTGGGGGAGAAAGAGGAGAAGGACAAGACAAAACAGTCCTACACTGTGGGGATGGGGCCTTATCACAAGTACATCTTCACGGTTGACCTTATACCTGAACCCAGGAAGTATCTTCACTGTACCTGTATATCTAGGATGCTGGTGAATCCTACTGCGCCCTTCCCCCCTACCTGCAGGCAAAGGAGAGCCAGCTGCCATCATGAGCCCCTCTCACCACAACTGTCAGGCCCCTTCTCTTTCTTATCAGCTTCGAGGAAAGAATACCCAGTCACCACAGCTGACACTGGGATATTTCGGGGGAGGGCACAGAAGCAGGTACTTTCAGGTGTCCTGGTATGTGATTGGACTGGAGATAGAGCCTCTTCCACTCTCAAATTAGATGCAAAGGAAATCATCCTTCAATAAATCCCACTGTTGCTGTTAGCGGGAGCTGAGGGACTAGGAGAGGTGGTGTCTGTGCCCTATGACATAAGATGTGCCTTTGGGGTCTTCGAGGAGGTGGAGTGTTGGGACAGTTAAGGAGGGTTGTCTGGAGGATAAAGGGCAGTTGGGGGTCAGCAAGTAGGCTCCCCTCGCCTTCCCAGAGTCCTACAAGTGGGAGGGGAGGGAGAACCTGGCTCCCAGTACATGTGCAGATGCCTCCATTTCCCCTTCCAAGTATTACATCCTCTGTTGCCAAGCTCCATGCTCTTCCCTCTACTTAGTTCCTATCAGCCAGCAAAAAGGGGAGAGTGCCTACATCTCTTTTTTTCCCCAAGCAAAACAAGTAATCTTTATATGCATTTACAATTGGACTCTTAGTTAAAAAGTTACCCATTTTATAGAAGCAGAGAAAAGAAGCCATGCAAGAGAAAGGCTAGTGCTCAAATGGAATCCGCGGTGTTCAATAACAGTGCATTTCTGGGAGGATTCCTTGTGTGTGTAAGTTGGACCACACAGATACTGAGATCCCTATCGACTCCCACAGTCTCTAATCCTGTAGATCTCTCCTCTAACGCCTGTAATCCAGTCAAGCCCCTCCCAGAGAGCTCTCGCAGTGCCCACCACCCAAAGCAGGCACCTGGAGAGGTCGAAACTGAAGAGGGGCCCAAGTTGGAACCCAGTAAGAGAGATGACTAAGATGGTCCCCTGCTTGGGTTTCCCCACATCAGATGCCTTTTGACAGGGCTGTGACAGCCAGATGGCTCATGGCCCTCGTGGAAGGGAAACTCACACTTGCATAGTATTAAAGGGACAGAAATGGAATGAAATGAAACAAAATTAAATTCAAGCCCTTGAAGCAAGGGAGTGTAAACACAAGGTGGTGCTCAGCCAAAGTGGATGGCAATGTTACATGAAGAAGAAAGGAGGTGGGAAGCAGCACAAGGATGCCTTGGAAGCTAACGACAGTCTATCAGCACAACACCTGGTGCTGCTTTTCCAGAGAGACCTTGAGTTGAAATGATACGATGTAAAGCAAACAATTCCCCAGGGAGGTTGTGTGAGGAAAAAGCCCAGAGTAAATGCTCTGCCTACTCCCAGTGGGACTAATTAGAAACTGAATGATTGTGTCTGGGAGGGAGGGGCTTGTGGCTTGGGAAAGCTCACCACGGGCATAACAACCTGACATTGATTTCCACCATTCTGATTAAAACTTTTGTCAAGTATGTCTTTGTGAACTGTCTTAAATCAAACACAGCAGGTAAGGGACACAGGGGAGGGGGGGGGGGGGGGGGGGGAGAGGCCAAGCCAGGAGATTGGATTAGATGGTGCAGATATTCTCTCTCGAGTAAGGAGAGGGCATCTACTCTCCCAAAGAAGAGACAGCACTGAAAGGTGAATACAGCCCCAAAGAAACCCAAAGAGCTTGGCACATACCCTAGGAACCCGCTGCTGGTGGGCACCACGTGAAAAAATATCATTTTTAATAGACTAGAAGTGAAAAAAATCAAAGAAAAAGAAATCCTTTTCAGAACTCTGAACCTCCTCTGGAGAGGCACTGGCTGGCCAGGATTTATAGTTCTTTATGGTTGCTGGGAAATGCTTCCTACAACAAGAAGCATTTAAGTCCTCACTATATTCCACTAAAGGTCAAGAGCACAATAAATATATACATACAATGTATGAATATATATATACATACATACACATACGTGTGTGTCCACACAGACAGACAGTAAATGGAAGATAATCTCAGAGAGAAGACACTTAGGGAAGGGAAGGAAAGGGAAGGGAAGGGAAAGGCCGCCTGCAGAAAGTAGGATTTGAGTTGAATCTCGAAGGAGACCAGGAAAACCAGGAGGCAGAAGTAAAGAGACAAGGCATTCCAGGTATGGAAGAACCAACAGGGAAAATGCAGTCAGGAGATGGAGTGTTGTGTGGGAGGAACAGCAAAAAGGCCTGCATTACTGAATGTGGGTGTGTAAAGAGTGTGGGGAGGGGAGTAGAGTACAAAAGACTGCAAAGAGTAAAGGTCCAGGCAAAGGGCTTTAAATGCCAAACAGCATCTTCAAGGTAACAGGGAGTCGCTGGAGTTTACTGAGTAGTGTGGCGATCTACTTTAGCAGCTGAGTGAAAGAAAGACTGGAGTGGGGAGAGACTTGTGGCAAGGAGATAAACCTTCAGGTTATTGTAATAGTGCAGGTGTGGGGCAGTGTCAGCGGAGAGAAGGGAATGTTTTTGAGAGATGTGAAAGTAGAAAGGACAGGACTTCAACACAGATTGGATATGTGGGGTGCAGTGCTAGTGAGGGCTTGAAAATGACACTGAGCTTACAAGCCTGAGTGACTAAAAGGATGGTGGTGCCCTCAACAGCAGAAAGGAGGGTTTGGAGGAAAGATAGTGAGTTCGAGATGCCCACAGGACATCCAATTCTAAATGGCCAAAAGGCAGTTGATGAAACAGGATTAGAGCTCAGAAAAGAGGTTAGGGCTGGATATTTAGCTAGGTGGTGGTACAGTGGATAGAATGTTGGACCTGGACTCAGAAAGATGTTAGTTCAAATCTTGCCCCAGACATTTACTAGCTGCGTGACCCTGGGCAAATCACTTAACCTCTATCTGCCTGAGGTTTCCTCATCTGTAAAATGGGATGATAATAACAGCACCCACATCCTAGGGTTGTTGAAAATAAAATGAGATAATATTTGTAAAGCACTTTGCAAACCTTAAAGCACTATACAAATTATTATGATATATTACTATTACAGAAGATATCCCAAAAGTCTTTTTTTTTATTTTTTTATCCCAAAAGTCTTGGTGCTAAGCTTTAATTGCTCAAAATTTCACTAAGATTTTTGGGACAGCCCTGCATAGAACTAGGAATCTTTTGCTTAAGAGATGATAATTGAATACCTGTGAGCTGATAAGATCACCAAGTGAGATAGAGCTCTACAGAGCCAAAAGCGAAGAGGGCCTGGGACAGACCTTTAAGGACACCCATACTTAACGGAAGTGACTCGAATGAAGATCCAGTAAAGAAGACTGAGAAAGACCTGTTAGGCGGGAGAAGAACCAAGAAAAAGCAGTGTCCCAAAGACCTAGAGAGAAGTGGGTAATGAGCAATGCAGTGACAAAGCCTGATGAATCCATGATGAAAAGTGCTCCCCACTTCCTGACAGAGGGGATGGGTTCAAGATGCAGAATGAGATAGGCATTTTTGGATATGGTCAATGCTGAAATTGGCTTTGCTTAATTATGCATATTTGTAATGAAAGCTTTTTTTTTATTCTTTTTTGTTGTTGTGCTGTTCAATTGGGGGTGAGAGGGAGATAAAATAAATAATTGTTCATTGATAAAAATGAAATTTAAAAATGAAATAGAGGCTCCATAGTGTCAAAGACTGCCTAGAGGTCAAGAAGGATGGGGATTGAGAAAAGGCCCTTCAATCTGTCAATTAAGAGATCAGTGGTAATTTGGGAAAGAATAGTTTCAGTTAAATTACAAGTGGATGGCAGATTGCAGAGGGTTTAGAAAAGACTACACAAAGAGGAAGTGGAAACACCAACTGTAAATTGCTTTCTCCAGCAGTTTAACCACAAAAGAGAGGAGAGATGGAATTGGGATGCTGGATCCAGTGAGGATTTTTTTAAGGATGAGAGAGATATGAGTGTGTTTGCAGGCAGCAGGGAAGGGCCCAATAAATAAGGGGAGACCGATCCTATCTCATTTTCTGGCTCCTCATCCTTTATCTGACCCTTGAAGGTGGATGTTCCTCAAGGTTCTGGAGAAACTACATTTAAAGG